AGCATTAGGCATTCCTGACACAATTAGCCTCAACTGGCCCTGGATGAAACTAGCATTCAGGGCAAGTTACACAAACAACAGCTACTGGAGCTCAGAGACAAGGAAAGTATTCATGACCCACAGGAGGAGAGCCAACCTTCACTGAATACAGCTTTTAGAGAAATAAGTGGACCTTGAACCGTACACAAACACACACGCACACTCACACTAATGAACATCCAAACAAATACTAACAAACGCATTGTTCAATTCCAGTTTGGACACATCAAATATGAAGGTGAAAACCTTGAAACTTGTTTCAAATATTAAAATCTAAACACACACAGACATACCCGTACACACAGTAAATAGTTCTGTATGCAACAGTACAAGAGTCTCTTGCGCAGTCTATTGGAGTGGCTATGTGGAGCAAATCGGCTTCAAAAACCCAGTTAATGTAAGCATGGTTCCCATGGAAACCATATCCCTGTGCATGAGTGTAGCAACGGTAAAAGCACCACATCCAAAAAAACTGTGTCAAGCAGCAAATGTATTTGAGTAGCACTGCTTATATGTTGGTGGAGATGAGCATCATATCCTGGTTGTAGTTAACCACAATATGCTGAGAAACTCAATTTGTGAGCACAGGTGCGCAGCTTAAGTTATGTTGATTGAAATCAACAAAATAACACATTAGTCTATGTCACAATAGTTTACATGCTGAAATAAAAATAAAAATAGTGATGCAGTATCTTTACCCTGATCCTTCATTGCTGGTGACTACATGGAGCAAAATACAGTTAATAACCGAAGTGGAGGAAATGTCAGATTTCTGTGATGTGGGTGAGTCTAAATGTTAATACCAGAATGAACCACAAGCAACCTGGATATGGTTATAATCATGTATAAAGCGGGCTGAATTGCTGTATTACTATGTTTTTTTTACTATAAGTTATAGAATATCCTAATTATGACCAAACATAAGAACAATACTCAAAGCCATGTCAAAAGTGTGTATGAAAATATTTGTATCTGTGAAGCTATTCAGCCCTTGTTGGCTTTGAGCACTATATTTGAATTTAAAATGAAGAGTTTAAAATTCACACACACATCTGTGGCATTTAAGAGGGTTAATGTAGACTATTTGTTGGCCTGGGATCGGTGATTTTGTGTCCTCTCCAGTGGTTTACTAATAGGCTAGCCGTTTCTAGTCTTTATGCTAAGCTAAGCGGCTGCTGGCTTCAGTTACATTTTGAACATAAAGGCCTGAGAGCAGCATTAATCTTCCCATCTAACTCTCTGAAAATGAATATCAACATCCCTTGAAAACGTTGAGGATGGAAAGATGTGACCACGTGTTAGCGTTTCATTGTAATGGTGATACTTTGACTACAGCTTTATAATCCCCTCTACGCTGATCTCCACATTTTCCACTTAACATGGTGTGATGCCGTCCACCAGCACAGCATGAGTTCCTCCAAACTAAATTGTTTTTATGTTTTACGGGCAGAGAAGTAAATCCCATAAACTGGTCTTAATTATTCTCTGGAGACACTGAAATGTGTAAATGCGAGTCCTTCTAACTACCACAGAAAATAATCACTATGTGGGAAGAAAGCTGAGGTGCTTAAAAACCCATAAATTCAAAGAGAGTGAGTCAAATGTTCAAATGGTGAGAAACCACGGAGCTGCGTTCAGAGAAAACGCTCCCACGGCTCAGAAACTGCTGCTGGTGTATGTGGAGACATTTTGCGAGCACGTCACAGATTATGATCACATGTCAGCAGCCAGAGAAACAGATGTCCACATGTGGCCGCAGATAAAGCCGTTAATCTGAGTGATAAATACACAGCATGTACCTTGGTCCAGTCTGTGAAGGAGGGTCATCTTAGCCAGCTGCACCTCTGGCCCCAGGTGGTCCAGGACCTGCCTGCACCACTGGAGAGGGCTGAGGACACTCTCACCCTGAAGCCTGGATTTGGGAATCACATACAGCCTGCAACACACAGCACAACCCACAAATTAGTCCTGAGAGCTTTACAGCCCATATTGTTACTGTACAGAGAGCTGAAGTTAAATAAGCTGGAAGCTGCTTCACTGTGTATCTTGGAAGATCTGGAGGGACCTGTTTTACAGTGGCGATATTTCATAAATTAAAGCAAAACATGACTTTGCAAAGGCTGTGTAAAGGGAATAGAACCCAAATGGCAATACACTGTTAAAGTTCTCACAAAAAGCAATTCCATTTTACTAGCTACAATATAAACTATGTCTATGATACCAACAGTACTGTGTAATAAAAATTCAAGTGGTGACAGCTTCACTCGATGCAGTGATATAGGATGTGAGTACGTGACCGCTACAGTGAGACACAGGATTATAGTATATTTTCTCACTGTGGGTTGTATATACTGTACTGGTAGGCCTGAAACCATTAGTCAATTTGTAAATAAGAGAATCAATACAGGATTAATAGTCATTGTTGACCACAACAAACTAATATTATCTGCTTTCAGCTTCTAAATTGTGAGAATGTCCTGCTTTTCTTTATCATAACTGACTTTGATTTGACAAGAGTGGGGTTTGGGATGAAAAGAATAATACATTGAAAAAGCCATCTTGACATTCTAATTTTCACAATTTCACTTATAATTAATATATTAATCACGATTTTTTTGGAGATTACTGAAAATAATTGTCTTTCCATAAATTGCATCCCACTGCACCTTTGCCAAAACTAACACAAAAGTAAAAAATAAATGGAGTTCATAACCTGGAAACTGGATACCTATTTTATCAGCTAATTGCTATAAGTGGAATGAATCTGACCACTTAAGAAAGCGGGCAAAACAAGCTTTACAATTCTGAATTTAGCCTACAGGACTGTAAAATAATCAAGAAACAAGATATATGAATATGCTACAATTGGCTGGAGGTTAGGTTGGTTGTAAAAAAAAAAAAATGATGTGTCACTTACAACCGAAACAGAAATGAACTTTCATTCAGCAAATAGGCCATGTTATATGCCTAACCCTTGAGGGTCAGTGATGTTAAATGGAGTGAGTATATTACGCTGGTGCTACATTCAGCGTTGTGCTAAATTTTCCACATCATCACATCAGATATGAAAAGCTGGGGACGGTTCAGTAGTCAGCATGTCAGTGTGTGAACTACCTAAGTCAGCAGAGCAGATATAGTGCTTCAAAGTAGTTCAGCCTGGAGCCAAACACTGCACACAGAGCTGTTGGATCACAGGCTGAAGGGAGGCATTGTTTCTAATTTCATCCCAGTGCTTTCTTATTTTCTAAAAGAGACCCATACTGCACGCACAGTGCATTCTGGGATGCCCATAGCTTGTCTCAAATCTGTTTTTGTTCTTTATCCTCCTGCACAAACTGAGTCTGTTCGCTGGTGTCTGCAAGTCTATTCCAGGAGGACATGGATCAATAATGTGATCAATAAGAGTATGTCAGGGTAGAATTACACATTATTTCACAAAATTGTGGCTAGTTGACAATCCTGTGGCCTATTAAGCAGAGCAAAAAGAAACACAACACTGATTTTTTTTTCACCGCAAATGCTGATATAAATGTACAATATAGTGGTAGATATGAACAGATTATAATTACCAGCTTTCAGGCTCTCCAATAGGGAGCACGGTGTTGAGATCCAAAATATCAACCTCATCCAAAACGGTGGCTCCAGGAGCGAGGCTGTCCTTCTCAGCGGCGTCAGGAGACTCAGAGCTCGACTGAAAATACGCGATCGGCTCCTCCGGTGAACCGAGGGCACACGGATGAGACTGTGTCGGACTCGGGATGCCATATTTACAGGAGAAATTGTCACTTGAACACGCTGTACCCCCATGCAGACACGACAACGAGGTCTGGAGATGAGGGCCGATGGAGCAATTGTTTACAGCGTTCGCTCGTGTCCGCAATTGTTCGTTTTGCTTCTCCAATTTTCGGACTAATTCCTGCAGCTTTACCACCTCCAGCTCCGCGTTACTGATTTTATTGTTGCCATTGACGTCTGCCATCATCTGGGGGTTTAAGACCTCTGCTTCCATCTGGTAAAAAGCACATTGAGAGGGACAGAAAAAGCACGGCCTGCCTGCAGAGGGTCCTATTCAATTCAGAGAGGGTGTCCAGATTCCCCCTGTTTAAAGCTACTACTGCACACACACACACACACACACTCACACACTCTCACACACACTGATGCTGCTGCTGGGATGATGCACATACTCCCTCTGATTGGTCAGCAGCTCGGAGTTTCACTCCCATCACACCACTGCTGAGGAAATATTTATTATGGACAAAAATATATAAATAGTTAGATACTTGAGTTTGTGATTGGTTGAAGAGATATGTGCAGTGCCATTTTAGATATGTAATACTAAATATACTACTACTAATACCACTACAAATACTAATACATAGTGATCGTTTTATTATTTAATCACTTTTTGGTGCAATTAGTTACCAGTTCCTAAAAAAACAAAAATGAATAAAAAAGGCTTCAGTGTATTTGAAGAAAAAGCCTATTTACATCTGATATAATATACATTATCACCATTTCCTTGAAACCAACTTAATATTCTTTCACATAGTTTGATTTTGGACATGACCTGAGTATAATTTAAGGTCAAATGAGGGCTACTACATCTGTATTGAAAAGGTTCAACCATGTGTTATTAAGTGGTATGACAAAACTTCTTCATGAATACAAAGGAATAATTTCAGCAAATCTGTGACAAGGTTATCATGTAATTAAGGAAAGAACAAAAGAGAAGAAACTGACAGGACAGGCTACTGTACGTAAGGTCATGGAGAATATAGCAAGGTTATTGATAATGTATGTCAATTGCTTCCATGTTTGTTTCATTTCTGGTATGGAGTAACTCAAATATAAAAAAATAATAAAATCAAGTAGAAATAGTTCTGTCTTTAGCTGTTAAATGTACATTAAGATATGATAGCCTTCATATAAAATACATTCAAGAAAGAGTATACATTTTGTACAGTACTAAAAATGTATTTTTATTAGGGGAACGACAATCAATTAAAAATGAATTATACATTGTACTTTATTAGTATAAAGCAATTACCAATTCAATCATTCCTTTAGAATTCTAATTTAATTCAAATTCTTAATTGAAATAGCTCAATACGTCCATTTCAGTACACTTTATGATAAACTTCATTATAAGTAAATAAACACCTCAGATTGCCATTCTTCAAAAGGCATATAAAGAATAAAAGAGTAAATATTGATATGAACAACAAACAGGGCAGCTAAACAACAAAGTCGTTGAGACATTACTATACAAAGCTATATATTGATTGTCTTTATTGCACACAGAAAAAGACCCCGGCCCTAAATATTACATTATCTTATTTCACACAAGAGTCTGCTTAAAGGCTGCAGACTGCAGAGAATTTAAATGTGTGAAAGTACAGAGGCAGCAATATCACAATGTCAACAATATAGTAACAGCTAGCTGCAAGTACATGTTACTAAAAAAGGTATATTCAATATGTAACTGTCATTTGTCAAAACACCAAGATAAAGCTTTTATCAGCTTGTAAAAACTAAAAACAGATCCCACATCACCAAAAAGGTATTGATTAACAGCAATATATCTTTCTCTTTAAATCATAGATGCTTCATCTCCAGGGAAGGCTTAGGGGAAAATTCAGCGACGCCATTTTTCTGTAGAGTCAAAAAAATTAAATAACGTTTAAATCAAGAAAAACAAAAAACATATTTTTCATTTATGTCCATTAATTCATACTTATATTTATGCATTTATTTTTTTACCTCTGGTGACATCGAAGCAGTTTTCACAGTGCACCATGTGTTTGTAGATCCACATGCTGTCCCCAGCTTTCATATAGCCCATATTGCTGTTACACACCTCGCACTGCCAAAACACACACACACACTCATGATTAAATACACACACGCTAAGCAGTCAGCTGCACAATACCTGTTAGCCGAGAAGAACACTTACTCACGCATTGTACTTAAGTATCATTTTGCTGTACTTTACCTAAGTATTCCCATTTGAAGCAGATTTAAAATCCCCTAAACCTCAGAAGGAGAATACTGTGCCTCATACTCTGAAACATTACCAGCTGTAGATCCTTGTTATGTTGCAAATTAAAACCCCTACAGGTGTTTCCAATTACTCAGGCTAATTACGCTGCTTGGCAGTTGGGAAGAACAATTCAGGTAATTACCACAAACTCTACTTCACAGAAGAAGTAGGAATGTATTTATTTTACTAGTATGAATTGCAACTCATACAGCATCTAAATACTTCTTCAAACACTGATTTTTCTCATTTTAATGGAATGTTATTCTACTCACTTTAAAGCAGGTGGTGTGGCAGTTGATCTTCATGTCATCCAGGACCATCTTGGCGTCACCAGTGAAGGGCTTACGGCAGTAGCTGCACAGGTCTTTCTCAAGCACCGTTCTATTGAAAAAATCATCATATATTTAAATAAAGTTGTTGACCTTGGATATACTGTCTCTGTCTTTGACCTATATATATGATCCTAAAGATGTTTTTTCATCTAGTGCCACCAGCAGATTTATATCTTTTCACAAAAATGTAGTAACATAAAAATTAGCATAATAGGGACCCTTTAAGACTATGCCTTACATAATACATTCCACCCATCACCATGTTAGCATTAAGCGTCTTTGAGCATCAGGAAATTAGAAAACAATTTTTTTTAGGAAATTAGCATTAGGAAGTGCTATAAAAATCCCATGTATTTTTATTATTATTATTATCATTGTGAGCATGTTAGCATTGTGACATTTTGCTCATAGCACCACTGTGCCTTGCACAATTGCCTTGCGGGGCTATTAGTACATTTGTTCACTATTTTTTTGTGGACCTGCTGTTTCCAAGGTCTACAAAGAATGCACTTCCTACCTCTCAGGAGCTGCATACACACTCTTTGAGGAGGATGAGTAGACTGAATCTGTCATGTCATCTGACCTGCTGTGAGAATACAGTAACACTAATATCAGTTTCCATAACAGTCTTACTTTACTTTACTCCCATATCATGTTTGTACAACAATATTAAACATGTTTAATTTCATGAAATACCTGCTGCTCCTGTATGTTTTGGAGGAGTAGGAGGTTGGACTGGAGATACTGGTGTACTCATAACTGTAGGAAAACAAAATGAACCATAGATAAGTAATATTTTTAACTCACTGTACATGCAGAGATAGTTTTCTCTGCTTCCTACCTGGAGTTTGGTTTGGAGTAAGAGAAGGTTTTGTCGCTGCTGTAGTCGTCACTGTGTGTGCAAACACAGAACAGATAAGGGATGTAATAAAGACTGCAGCCACATTTCATCTGGTTGTATAGCATAGGCAAACCCTGCAATGGTTGTGTATGTGTGGGTGTGAGAGATGTCGATAATAGTTTAATGATTACCTGGGTGTGCTGCTGATGGTGTAGGAGGAGGTGCGGGTGGAGGGAAGATCATCAGTGTACGAGCTGTAGCTGTGTGTCCAAGAGGAATATCAATGAGTTGCAAATGGTACACATTTCTTTATCTTGTACAAATTATCTTTATAATTTTATTAAAATGTAAATATTATACTATTTGTTCTAATGTAATCTCTTTCAATAAACCTTGTTACTTCTTGATCTATTAATTAATGACATTTACATCAGACCCAGCTGTACTTTGTCTTGATGTTCAATAGCAAACAACAATAAATGATGATGTCTTGATGTGTATAAACAGGAAAACTTACACATGCCATGATCTCTGACATAAACTAAAATGTCATGTTTTTATAAAGGACATGAAATCAATGGATACTCTGATATTGCTGCTAATGTATTTAAATATTGTTTGCTCTTTTTTCCATTTTTTAAAGTAGTCTATTTTAATGAACATTGCCTTTTTTTCAGACATTGTGAATGTAAAATGAGATTGAGTAATTAGTATTATTAGATAAAAACTAGATATTTTTATTTATTTATTGAAAACTACATATAATACACAAAATGATCTAATCTGGTTTGGTTTACAACCAATCTTAAAATACACATAGTATTTCCTCTGTAAATATAGACACATTTCTTCACATGGCATCAACCCCAATCAATCCCAGTCAGCATGTTTACCTGGAGGTCCTGTGGGTGGAGGATGGTGAAGACACTGGGCTTGAGGCTCTAAAGGCATAAACACAATGTCAGAAGAAACCAGGATAACTTAATGGAACAAGTAAATAACCATGGCATTACTTCCATTATTCAAATCCAGCACTCACCCTCTGCTGCTCGCAATTGTGATGTTCTCTCTCTTTGTGATGCTGCTGCTGCTGCTGACACAATGACAATGCAATTATTTCAATGACATGAATAAATAAATGTTTGTGTTTTGTATAAAGGTTATTCACTGAGGCATCTCACCTGGAAGAAGAAGACAGACTGGATGCATTTGTGATGGATTTAGGCAAGAGGGTGTCGTACAGGTCATCCTCGGCACTGTAGAGAAAAAATACACACAAATATATGAGTTTGAAATCCTTTTTTTATTTAAAAAAATTAATAAATATTGAAGGATGTCGATCTTACGAGGCGGAACTCCTTGTCGTGGTGGTAGCTTTAGTATCATTTCTGGAAAAAATGACAAATGATTGTTATCAAACTGACTGGTATTTATTGTTATAGTCAGTTTGTTAAAGCTGTGCTGCAGTTACTCACCCATTGCTGCTGCTTCTCACTGTCACATACTCAGTGCTGGAGATAGTTCTTTCGTTGTAAAGAGGAAAAAAACCCTCCATTACAATATATAGTTTTTGAATATTTCATATTTTTCCTTGACTTGTTATCCATATAATTCATTTTCTAGTTTTATTTTGGGAATATCACCTGTCTGAGGATGAGTAATCATCCTTGATCTTCGAGGGGACGAGTGTGTCAAACAGATTGTCCTCAGCACTGCACAGAAATACAGGTTAAGTTGTAGGTGATGTAAAAATGTAAGCATATTAATTGGAAAATGGGAGCTTTACACCTCTTATTAAATCATCTAAGTTATATTTTCTTGTAAAATGTACTTAGTCTTACTGTAATAAAAAAAATATGGAAGGGGAAAATTACCTAAAAATGTATTATTATATCTATCTATTCTTATATTCGCTCTAAGGCACAAAGACACACTGAAAGGGGAACAGGCATTGCAAGACCACAATGTACACTCACACCATTCACACGCCCACTGACCATCTGGGCCTCAAATAAGCCTTCGTGTCTCATGTGCATGGAGCTAAATCTTTATTATGTATAGGCTCAGTGCAATACAGTATATAAAGGATATCCCTATAGAGGTCATGGTTTAGAAGCATTGGGCTAACATGTGTCTATGTTCTACTTTTCGTCAACAAATCCCATGAAACAAAGTACTTTATGACTTTTCTACCCTGTCTTTTGGACTCAACCCCTAGTCCATTTGTTCCAATTGAAGATGTACATATATTTTTAATTTATTAGAAAAGTCTCAGTCATTTCCTTTACTGTAGTTTTAGAAGACATTACTCAAATGGGAACAAATGGTGCATTTGTATAAGGACTGTTTTTAAGAGGAAGACATTTCGTTTTTTGACATTTTCTTCTGACTAACTTGAATATAAAGTTACCAAAATAATACACAGCCTCCCCTGCATTGTACACACTATGGTTTGAAACTCACTCAGTGTCAGCGCTGCTTTTCACTGTCACAGTCTGAACCGTGGAGACAGTCTTTCTGCTGTAAAGAAAAAAACAAGTATGTAGTTACTGAAGGCCTGGCGTCATTATCAACGTGATTTATTTTCTAGGTTTTATGTATGAAAATATCACCTGTCTGTGGGTGAGTTAATGTCCTTGATCTTCGAGGGGATGAGTGTGTCAAAAAGCTTGTCCTCAGCACTGTACAGAAATACAGTTTAAGTTATAAGTGATGTAAAGATTTAAATTATATTATGATTTAATAATACGTTTTTTATGAGTGTCCATTATGCGCCAACATCTTACTCGTTGCTGCTGCTAATGGTTCTTTCAGTCACTCTGGTTGTCTTTGTTGGTGAGTAGCTTGAGTATAGTGTCCTGTGTGAAAATATATTTCATTTGCTCAAGTATTGTAGTTGAGTTCACGTTTGAATTTGTACTTTACTTGTGCATCTCTACAAATGCTATACATTAACTAAAGATATTGCACTTTTCACCTAGCTATTTATCTGAAAACTACAGTTACTTGTGACCTTTTAGATTAATTCACATTAAAACATTGGATACATTTATAAAAGACAACATATTGTCAAAGATTGAATGAGTGATACCTAGAATTTGGACATTTAGAGGCCCAAGCGGATAAGATGATTATATATTTCACCACATTTACCAAAACATAGAGAAGAGTCAATAGATGAAAAAACATGTGTGCAACAGTTGATACTTAGTAATTTTTTGTTAACCTAAGAATATGATTATGAGTACTTAGACCACCATTGATTATATTGAAGTATATTTTTACTCTTTGCTTGTATTCTTGACCCTCTGACTGAATGTCTCAGTCATGGTGGGACTCTTAAGCACAGGGGATCTGGAAGAAAAAACCGGAGTTGTCATCAAACAGACACAGAATCAGTGTGTGATAAGTTGAAACATCTTAATGATTTTTGATTCCCTACTTAAGACTCTGGGTGGAGGTGAAGGTGGTCTCAGTGGTTGTGCCATCCTTGCTGACCGAGGAGGTCCTTGAGCTTAAGGTGGAGTAATAAAAAACAAATGAACAAATACTCAGGTAATCTTTCCTGTGGTTTGGTTAGTAGCAAGTGTTAGTACCTTGTATTAGGTTTCCCTATGACAGTTTTGGATGTAGTTCTGTTGTGATATGATAAACAAAATGACACATAATGTACTCTGTCGTTGCTGCTTTTTGTGCAATAGACTGAAGCTTTACATACCTGATGGGAGAGTCGGACTTCGGAGATGAGTATGTGCTGCTACAAAGAAGCAGAATGTTAGGATAACTTCATACTAATATAACAAAAAAGAAACTAGATATTGCACCATTTGTTGTTTTATCATGAAAATGTACCTTTTTGAGTAGGAGGATGTCCTGCTGGAGGGGAGGGTGCTGGTTAAAGAGATGCATTGTTAAGCAACAGTTTGGTTAAAATGACTCAAAGTGCCTGAACACAAATAAAGGATTTCAGCACAAATGAACAGGCACTGTGTGTCTGCAGAGGAAAACAACTATAAATGAGTATAAATACGGTACTAACCTGCTGCTCGTCTTATCCGGACTTCCGGTAAATCTACAATGATAGAATCACAATCAAAGCTATTTTCTGTTGTTTGATGTTTTTCAAAAACAACTGCTAACACGACATTTATTTTAAATCTACAAACATTTGAAATGTATTGAAATTATTTTTTTGTTACTATCGTACCTCTTGCTGAGCGCCTGCACAGATGTTGAAGTTTTTGTAGTTGTGGTGGTTTTTACTTCCTCACCCCCTGGACTGTGAGCAAAGGACAATGAAGTATGTAAATAGACTAAGGGCTCATTTTTACATTACACCCAGTTGCTGTGTGTGCGACCCTTATTGAGAAAATATTTAAATGTTGTTTTACCCCACAGAAGTCTCATCGGTTTTGACCTGGCTTAGAACAGTTTTGCCAAAGTTTGGATCTCGGCTGAAGGAGGGAAAAAAAGATCACAAGTTAATTCATTTATACTACCAGAGGCGACTCATCACTGTGTCTTGCAAAAGGAATGTAGAAAGAGGTTTTTTTTTTTTTTAGACAAAGGTAGACTTGAACTACCAGTCACACCCAACAGCTATGGCATTGTGTGGGTTTGCCAGTTTGGAATATTTGATTTGTTCACTATGTTTTCATGACTCACTCAACAGCTTCATCCTCATCGTCCACTTTTCTGATCCAGCTGTTGTCTTTCAGCAGAGAGGCTGAAAACAAAAAAGACTTGAGTGTCTCCAACTCACATTTTCAAGGAAGTTAGACATATTTTGAGCAGGTAAAAACTGAAATTAATACGAAAGTGCCTGTTAGTGAAGCTCATACGGTATTCTTTTTTGACAATGTACACATAATATTACACTCAGGTGGCTTTGAACGTACTGTTTGATGGAGACTTCAGAAACTGATGATAATGAGGCTGATACAAAATACATATGCGATGTGTTTTAAAGTGTTCAGAATCATCTTGCATTGGAATGGACAGAAAGTATGACATGTAATTAAGTATTTGAATAAAGAAAAATGATTGCCAATGATTCGCATTTGGAGTAAAATCCACAATTAAAGCATTTGTTTGTGTTATGTGTTATGTGTTATTGTGAAATATAATTTGGTTGTGAATGGGTTCATCATTGTTCTTCATTGTCAGGCCTTTCAGTTCAGCGTCAAGAATATGTTGATTTTCTTTCATCTCTTATACTGTTTTTAATCAATCTTCATATATTTAATTTAATTTAATTATATGACATTTATTTTTACCCTGTGCATTAATCTAGAGTTACGTTTACTGTCTAATTATCAGCTTGTTCAGTCATCAGTAATGCACTTTGACTTACATTACATATATAAAGGGCTATAAATAAATACTCAATAAGATTAAAAACATTTAATTTTCAATATTAAAAAAAACAGGCGTATTATTCTTATGGCTGTGAATGTGCAATAAATAATAACAATAAAAAGAAAATGTGAAATAAGAAATAGAGGAAAATATATTACGGATGAAATAAATCAATTTGAATACAATTAATATTACAGTTGTAGAAGAGTTGGATTAACATAATTTGACAAATGTAACCTTTGGATATTGACATTACAATGTGTTTTTTAGTTTTCTGTATTTTATTTATTTATATTTCTTAATACTTACGCGCTTTGTATGCTGAATACGCGCTCATTTTGTAACCTGTGTGTGAAAAACAAGGAAATTCATCACATAATGAAACCACATTGGCCACTAGATGGTACTGTGGAATAACGTCTGACCTGAGATCACTACATGAACTTAACAATCAAAGCTATTACTTATGTCATTGTTCTCCTTATGTGCACTTTCTCACCATAACTGACATATTTCAGTTTTGCTCAACCCTAAACTCACTGATTGAGCCCCAAACTGGTTTGTCTTGATCTGTGTCCACCTGCCCTTTATAACACACCTTTTTCAAACACAGTATTGTCAGCAAAACAGAAGGGCGTACCAGTATCATTCCATTAGCTATTCGTGATAAGATCACGCCCTTTTAACTAAATGCACTACAGAGCACAAACAAATCCATATCAGGAACAATTAGGCAGATATCCACAGCTGGGAGGGTGGTTATATTTCGTAAATGCACCATATGTCTGATTATAAGTTGCTCTGTCAAATTAGTGCCATTTGCCTTTAAAAAAATGTGTTTAGCGTAGGGCTTGAAGTTGTTTGAAAGATCCATATCACAGATGTCTTGCATTTCAGAGCTAAAAACAGAATTGTTTGCTTTGAGTTGTCTTTAAACTTTCAGTACTGTTGAGAATAAACTGTAAAACATATTATGATTGATAAAGTGGAATCCTTTACATATAAGACTTTTATTGAGCATTGTGAAGCTGAAAAACATTGTTCTTGAGGATTACAGTAACTATCAAAAATGTACTGTCAATAACACACTGGTACTTAAATTACTTTTTTAGTGTATTTCTACAAGATGCTTTAAATATTTGTGTCCCTATAAAATATGACTACTATACTGTTACTATATAATAGTGTGTAGCAGATCTGATACAATATCTCAAAGTAGTTAGCGTTGACTGAAAGCTCTGTCAAGACTGAACATGTCTGTACCAACTCTACAGGTTAGTAGGAAAAATATGCAAATCATTCATGTTTGCTGAGCACCATCACTTTTCTCTGTAAACGTGTGATCTTAAGCAAAAACAGCTAACATAAATTCAATAAAAGAGTGTGTATGTGTGTGTGCGATGTGTCAATATACTTAAAGTCACTTAAGAAGTACATCATTACATAGTTACAATATGTTTTCTGCTTCTATTTTCCAGGACCATTACACCCTAGTATTAAACATCTGGTCTCACAGAACTCCTAAAATCATTCCCTTTTTTTCTAAGCAATTTCTTTTCCTATGTCTTAAATTTCATTACACAAGAATACTACTGTAAACTGGCAACTGACAAAAGATTATTAAAAGAGACTGGGTACGTACCTTCACTGATGCCTAGTTGGACAGATAATGTAAACTCTTACTGTATCTCAGCTGTAATCACCTGTCTATCACTTGACAGTTTGCACGCCTTGTCATTCCTTGAGCTTTTAACCTTAAGGGAGGAGATTATGAGGCCACCCAAGGGTGTGGCTTCAGACGACAGTCAAAGAAAACGCTCTCTCTCTCACTCCAGATTCTTTCTGTCATCGCCGTCTATACCTTAATAATGGTTGGTTGTCAATCTGCAGAAACAATTTGATTGGGTGGAGTGCTGAAGGACTTGAAATTCTACTTAGAATTCGAGGAAGCAGAACTGCAATGTGGGTGTGGAAGTGTGTGCCTCTTTAACCTTCAATAACTTTGATGTGATTTTACGAGACACTATTAAATAATGTCCTATTTGAAAGATTTGATCCCTATTCACTGTGACATAAAGCAAGAAAAACTATAAAATATATTTATCTAAGGTCTAGATATATGATTTACCTGTCCCCTTGAACTTTGAACTGAGAACAAAAGGCCCTCGTTTTAAATCAATGAGGGCTGACATTGGACTTTGGACTTTGGACTTTAAACATGTATGTTACTACAAGTACTGTAAGGAATGGTGGTTTTTACTGGGTTAGTATCAGATTATTAGATTAATAATTTATCACTCAGGTTTCGTAGTTGAAGTACTCACACCTTCACATGCTGATCACAAAGGCACACAACTGACGCCAGCACAGGTCTCACATATGCACTGAAACTGTGATTAAAACTTCTATTAAATGTAATGTTTAATTACATCTATTAAAGAAGAGGCCTCTTTTCTGCTATCAAAGGGGAAGTTACGGGTTATTTAGGGTTACATGTACATCCAAAATCATCAGGAGTATAAATAAAACTGAGTGACAATCAGACTGGAACTATAAATGCACTGTTGTCTGTGACAGTGAGTTTTATTATTGGGTGTGCCCTGTTGTGAATGATCAAAAGTATGAAAGGCACATAGCATGCAGAGGTGTGACAACATGACTGTAGTGAACCCCTCCTAGTCACAGTGACAGAACGAAAGGAATGCAGACTACTCTGGAAAGATCGATCTAGGTTAAATGTGAACAGGAAGAGAAAATAGTTAATAGAAAGACATTATCTGAATGAACAAGTATGAATGAAAATCACATTGTAAAGTGTTCATAATAAAGACAACCATGCTTATTTTATTATGAACTGATTAAAAAAAAGGTAAACATTCAAAGTCAAATTTTGCAATTTGGTATAATTATCATTAAGAAAATGTTGGAAAGCGGTAAACTGTATTCTTTCAGTCAACAATAATTTCCTGCCTTATTTATGGATGCACAAATTCAAGTGGGATTTACTGACACTGGATGGCGCTAGAGTTACAATGATGGAAATGACAATACAGGTTGTGCAACACTTTTAAAAAAGGTAAATATTACATGTTATCCCAAGGATATATATATCACATTAGGACTATTTGTGTTAGGATAACTGTTGACACACACTTAGTTCCAAGGATTTTTTCATTCAAGCCTTGCTTCCTAGATGTGTGAACACCAACTGGATTGCATGTCTGCCATCTCTTTTCATTCTTGTGACACTCATGCCTGAACTATGGCATAATCTTGGCCTAGATATCCCACCCTTCTGTGCTCTATTTGTGCCAACAGAATAGAGCACAGAACACCAGGGATTAAATAGCAGCCTCTGAATGTGAATGCATCCCTAGGCTACACATTTTTTAAACCTTCTATCTGAAAACCACTTAAAAAAGGAGGGCCAACAAATGTCTGCAGTTTGTGATTTACAATGGATCTTCATCATACACTTCAACTGAGCTGCTGTTATATGTCTTACTGAAATATTAATTGGACAATCCCTCAGTGTTATGATAGTAAATTCTTACGGTAAGAGTCAGTTGTCGTCACTGACACATGCTGTGAAATTGTGCTTTATAATGCTCTCTGGGTTGCTATGAGAAGAGAATGTAGACCGACCCCTCTCTTGTCATTGGGCCACTGCAAAACCTGGCAACCAATAAAGCATCACTAGGGCCTGTGTAAATCTCTCTCTATGTATCTCTACCTCAATAAATGTGCATGCACATCCACATGTACACACATTTGAAAGAGATGACATACACATAACACTTATTTAAATGTACTTGCTGAATACATGTTCTCAGCATAACATGGTTGCGACTGCAACATATTTTGCACATACCTGTGAAATGTGTCCTACCTGCACCAGTTTTGCTGTTTATTTTGGCCTTCACTGACATTCCGACTGATGTTATGTAACACGTGTCTCCCAGTTTTCCCCAATGCAGTATTCCTGCTCCTCCTTGTGTTGCCCCTGTCAGAAGGTGAAAATGCAAATATTACTATCATAATAATGTGCATGTTGCATTACGTAAGCACTTCAGTATACCCATGCATTTTGGGAATTTAAGGCATACACAAACTGACAGTAGATTTGTTATCTTGCCAAATGTGATCCACATCATGCATGTTTATAAAAAAAAGGTTGTCTTTTGCTTTATGTAGAGAGAGCTACTGCAGCTGGGGCCTGATCAGTAAAGAAGTTCACTGTATAACAAACATCTGATCAAAGCATGATTGCAGTCCTTGTACAAAGCATAGGCTATTGAAATATATTTTCAATAAATACAGTTTAAGGTGCAAACTATGTCCGACATCAAATTGCAGCAACTGTAGTGGCCACAGGAGATAGACATGCAATGCTAGTACACATGGTCCCAGCTGCTGAGGTAACAGTAGTTAATTTATTGTAAATGGTAAAAGCAGAGAAGAAATAATGAGCTATGAAGTCAAAGCAGTCTTAACTAAATAAAACACTATTTTTAAAGGTCAAACCCGAGCTTCAGCATTTTAAGGACAACACAGCTTGTAATCGTCTTTAAAAGCATCTCAATGTGCCAATTTTAGATCAAACTGGGAGGGGCCCTGTATGGACATCTGCTAATTAAATGTTTCTGACTGTGCTTACTCTGCAAAATAGCATATGGTTCTGTTTTCTCTCTAAAAGGAACCATTTCACTTTCACAATTATCGATTTGGGTTAAAAATAATGAACTAAGCATTGGTATATGTATAGACAGGGAGATAATTGTTCATATGAATCACTGATAGCATCGCCCAGTATAGTCATATGAAAATATCCCGGCATGCTAGCGACGCAACACTCAGCCAGGGAGGGGAGGGATGATGGAGCTAAGATGGCAGCCCTACTGAGGGTGCTGCCTCTCTGGGGTCAAGAAATATTCAAGGAACGAATGAAACCGAAACACGAACAGGCAGTTTTTGGAAATTAACGGTGCCGTTTCTGCTGTTTTACTAGCACATGTATTATGGCTTGAGAAGATCTATTTTCGGGAGACAAGCACCGTGTTGACGCTGTGGCCGGGATAGGAAGACCGTAGCTGCACCACCAGATTGGCTACAATTTGCGCTTATAATAACCGGGGACCTTGGACGTTTAATTGTGGTATTTCTGCAACTTGGAACGGACAAATAATGTGACATGTGGCGGATTTGATGACAAGTGGATCGCATCTGATGGCTAGAAATTATCTAGCTGTGATATCTTTTGTGTAATATATGCATTGTTCTCCAAAACGATGATGTGTGCTGCTGCGGCAGCGGCCGCCGGTGGAGGGATTCTGCCCTCCTCATCGCCGTCGATGGGGCTGGGTGTCCGGGTCATATCTGGAGCAGGAGCCGAGCTCTCCACCATCGGTTCTGGGATGGGTTCTTGTCCGACAGCCGGAGCCCAGTCGGATTGTCGGACTCGGTACCAGCTTTTACTCTCAGGGCGAGCACTGGCTGAACGATACAGACGGATTTATACCACCGCTATTAATGATAAAGAGCAAGGGATAAATCAAGGACGGTGAGTGGTTACCGTAAACATGTAGATATCAGAGAGGCTGGTCTGTCATCTGTAGGGCTAGCTGTGCTAACTACCATAAGCTATCATTAACCCTTGCTTAGCGGTACTACAGTTCAACAACATATACACTTCTGTCAACAGTAATGCATGGCTCTTGAGCTAGAGGGGTTCTAGTCATACAAGTCATTGTTTTAACTTCAAACAACATGCCAGGAGCCCCATATTTTGGGTGCACCCTCTTGAAGGAGTCTGCTTGCTAGGTAGCATTTTGGCTCTGACTTCCCTAGCTTTATCAGAGCCAGCTAAGCTAACGTTACTTCACCCTTACTCGAGAGGTTTGCAGCCTAGATGCTTTGGAGATTCTGTTTTCTTTAGTCATTGACACAATCTAATCGAAATTAAAATCCTTACTTACCTGGGTTAAACACATTCAAAGATGTGCTCTATCGGCTTAGAGTTATATTCAAAACAAGCTAGCTGGCTAACTGTCATGACAGCAATTTGTTTAGAGCGATATAGCCATTGCCCAGCTAAATGTACACAAACGTCTTACACGTTCATGTTTTGTGAATCACTTTTAAACTTCCAAAGCTTGCGTTTTCACGATATGTTAAGATACTTAATCATTTATTATAATTTGATGTAGGCCCAACGGCGTCACTGTTTCGATTCCTAGCTCTGACGTTACTAACGATAAAAAGCATTTCCCAGGTTATCCTCTTGTAAGCTAATTTTTTTCCAAGAAGCTGATAATAATAAGACATACATAATAAATACAGCATATGGCCCTTCATACACCACGTTTGACGTGTATGGGTGAGGATGTTTGGGAGGTGGATGAACTCATTTGCTTTTCTAGCATTAGCGGGTAATACAGTTACGTCATTCAGGCAGACAGTCAGTCAGGTTGTAGACAGAGTATCTGGATCATTGCAGCATCCTCCCTCACAAACTCAATTGTTTTTGTATCCCCCATCCCCCTCTCCATGTACAAAAACCGACTATATGCGTTTGAAACATACTATCATAACCATCTCCTTCTGAATGTACAGCTCTATGCAAATGAGCAACAACAGTGTTTCAACCTCTTCATTATATTATTTTGAACTACCATCTTATTATACAACAATCTTTCTATTAATATGATGGTGGAAATGTTGCTTGCACATACCATTGTGAATTACCTACTATTGTAAACATCAGACATTTTGTCAGCCTTGTTTTACTTTGGTATTGTGTGTAGCCTGTCACTTTGTGATCAAAAGGTTGCAGAATGTTAATCTAAATGTATATGATGGCAAGATATTAAACATCAATACTCAGTTGCACTATTGAGTA